GTAGGGTGGTGAGGTGAGTTGTAGGGTGGTGAGGTGAACTGTAGGGTGGCGAGGTGACCTGTAGAGTGGTAAGGTGAACCGTAGGGTGGTGAGCTGAGCCATGGGGTGGTGAGCTAAGCTGTGGGGTGGTGAGGGGAGCCGTGGGGTGGTGAGGTGAGCCGTGGGGTGGTGAGGTGAGCCAGGGGATTGTGAGATGAGCTGTAGGGTGGTATGGTAATCTGTAGGATGGTGAGGTGAGCTGTAGGGTGGTGAGGTGAGCTGTGGGGTGGTGAGCTGAGCTGTGGGGTGGTGAGGTATAGGTGTATCCACAGTATAGACGTGGGAAGCACATACCAGAGTGGGCAGGACAGCTGGCATGGTATGGGGTGAAGTGGGGATCCTTTAGGGTGTAGGGTAACCCATGTAGGGTGGATGTGAGGAGGTTTCTCCCTAGGGTGCAGAACACCACATGTGGTGTGGGTGATGGAGATATTTCCTAGAGTGTAGGACAGTCCACACAGTATGGGAGGAAAGAGATTATTTTCTAGGTTTCAGGATAGTGATCGTGGTGCGGGGGTGGTAAGTAGGACGTCCTCAGGCTTGAAGATAGCCTGCGTGATGTCAGGGTGATAACTAGGATGTCCTCTAGGGTGCAGGCTAGCCCGCGTGATGTCAGGGTGATAACTAGGATGTCCTCTAGGGTGCAGGCTAGCCCTCGTGGTATGGGAGTGATAACTAGGATGTTTTCTAGGGTGCAGGCTAGCCCTGGTGGTGTGGGGGTGATAACTAGGATGCCCTCTAGGGTGCAGGATAGACCTCACGGTGTGTGTAGTGGGGAAGGAGGATAAGACCAGTAAGCCCCAGTGTGCAGGACAGTCCGCCACGTGTAGAGGTCGCCTCCTGGGCTCTCCCTCGCCGTGTCCATGTGTTTCTGTAGGGGCCGGTTCGGCCAAGTCCACAGGTGCACAGAGAAGTCCACGGGCCTCCCACTGGCAGCCAAGATCATTCAAGTGAAGACCGCCAAGGACCGGGTGAGGCATCTGCCCTGGGCCAGCCCTGTCCCTTTGGCCAAGCCTGGGAATCCCTTCACTTCCTTCAGGCTCCCTTTGGGCCCCACATTGCCCTGGTCCCCTCCACGCTGAGCAGGAAATCTAGACGGCCTTTCCAGCCTCTTTCCACGACTCCCACTTTTCACTCAGCATGTCACCTCGCAGGCTCTCAGCCCCTACCTGCCCACCCACATCCGGACATCAGGCATGGCTCTGCCATGATGTCTGTGTGACCCTGAGCAACAAGGTGCTTTCCTTCTTGGACCTCAGGCTTCCTATCTGTGAAATGAGTGGGTTGGACTAAGATCTTTTCTGGTTTATAAGAACCTGGCTTGGGTAGTGAGTGAAGGAGACCTGGTGTGAGAGCAGGAAATGGAAGGATGAGAGAGAGTGTGTGTGTGTGTGCACGTGTGTGTGTGTGCGTGCGTGTGTGCATGTGTGTGTGTCTCCCCAGAGGCTCAACTGGCTCCTCTTCCTGACCCATTTGCTTGGAAATTCTTTTTCCCTTCTGACTCCATAAGGAGGATGTGAAGAATGAGATCAACATCATGAACCAGCTCAGCCACGTGAACCTGATCCAGCTCTATGATGCCTTCGAGAGCAAGAACAACTTCACCCTCGTCATGGAGTAGTGAGTGTCATGGGAGGTGGGGTGGTGGCTCCTCCTCAGGGCAGGCTCAGGGCTGGCTCAGGATTAGGGTTAGGGCTGGCTCAGGGTTAGGGTTAGGGCGGGCTCAGGACAGGCTCAGTGCTGGCTCAGGGTTAGGGTTAGGGCTGGCTCAGGGCTGGCTCAGTGTTAGGTAGGTTCAGGGCTGGCTCAGGATTAGGGTTAGGTCTGGCTCAGGGCTGACTCAGGTTTAGGGTTAGAACAGGGTTAGGGTTAGGGTTAGGGTTAGGGCAGGCTCAGGACTGGCTCAGGGCTGGCTCAGTGTTAGGGTTCGGGCTTGCTCAGGGATGGCTCAGTGTTAGGTAGGTTCAGGGCTGGCTCATGGTTAGGGTTAGAGCAGGCTTTGGGCACTGGTTCCAGGGAATGCTCTCCCTGTCTGTAGCCTGCCACGATGGCATCCAGGGCCATGTTGTCCCTCGTCTTGGTGTGGCTGCTTGTTCCCCACATGGAGCATGGAATGCATTGCCATTTTGTCACAAAGTGGTGACCAGTTCGCCTGATTACACCTGTTATTTTATTGCATTTTAGCCTACACGATTTTCAATGAATTTCAATTAGTTGCAAACATTCAGAAATTAGAAAATTTCACTTTGAAACCTAGATTTCTGTCTTGTGTGAACTTGTGAAAGCTGTAGCAATGACAGGTCTGCATTTCCAGCCAGCAGCAGTGTGCTCAGGCTCATAGTGGCTCATGTGTGTACACAGGGCAACCGGCCTCCCACTTGCCACAGTCCCCACCACTCCCAACTACCCCCCACAGTGATGGCCAGGGCTCAGAGGCCATTGATTTCTGTGCTTGCGTTGCTGTTTTCCTCTCGAAGGGCTGAGGAGAGTCATACACTTGTCATGTCCATGTCTCTTTCAAAAGTGGGAAAACCAAAGCTGGACCAAGAGAGCCGTTTCAAGAACACTTTTTTCTTATATCTGTCTGATTCATCCATTTAGGGTTCTTGCCTTGTAGGTACTAGTTGGCACCCATAGGCAAATGAGTTTGCAGCTCTGGTCTACATTATCCAAAATGAGCCTGGATTATACACCAAAGACCATCCTGTCTTCTCTTCCTTTTTACCATTCACCCTCTGAGCTAGGAATGGCCAGAGCAAAGGTCCTGGTAAAACCCCAGATGGCCGTGGCAGTGGCCCCTGGACTCAAGGGCAGACCTTGAGTTTACCGGGGCAGCCTCTGTTGGCCCCTGGTGAGTTCTCTGAGACTTTACTCAGTCTGATGCCTGTCTCTCCCTTCCCCCTGGCAGTGTGGACGGGGGTGAACTCTTTGACCGGATCACGGACGAGAAGTACCACCTGACCGAGCTAGATGTGATCTTGTTCACCAAGCAGATCTGTGAAGGCGTGCACTACCTCCATCAGCACTATATCCTGCACCTGGACCTCAAGGTCAGGCTCCCCCTGGGCATGTGGTGGGTGGGACCCAGGTCCCTGGGCTTCTGGCGCTCTCATCTCTCAGAGCTCCACCAACAGACACCCCTAGCCTCCATTCCTGGATCTCTGTCTCTCCTAGGTCTGGAATCTCGGCAGACAAGTCACGCTGCCTCTCTGAGCCTCAATTCTCCCATCTGTAAAACATGGATAATTGTACCTCTTTAAGTGTTATTTGAAGATTAAGTGATAAATGACTTTTCTTCTTTAAAAATATCTTTTAAGATTAGCTTAAACAAATTAAAATAGGAACATGACAGTATATAAACAATACCAAACCTGTTGCCGTCGAGTTGATTCTGACTCATAGCGACCCTGTAGGACAGAGTAGAACTGCCCCGTAAGATTTCCAAGGAGTGGCTGGTGGATTCGAACTGCTGACCTTTTGGTTAGCAACCGAGCTGTTAACCACTGCGCCATCAGGGCTCTGTAAACAATACAGAAGTGTATAAAATATGCAGTGCAAGTTCTTCCCACCCCAGTCTCTACCTTGAGAGGTCTTCGCTGTTAGCACTCGGGAATGGTACGCAACACACACATCAAGGAGATCCTATTACACACCTTGTCTTTAAGCTTGCTTTTTTAGTTAGCAATACACTGCAAGCATCTTTCCTCATTCTCTTTAAAGGTGTGTGATATTCCACTGAATGGATGCATTACACCTTCTTTTCAGTGTTCTGCTGATGGATGTTTAGGTTGCGCCCTGTTGTTTAATAGGCGCGGTCCTAGGAGCTTCATGCACATAACACCCTGGGCACAGTGCCTGGCTGGTAGCAAGCACTCGTTATGTGAGAGCTGTTTCTGTGATATTCCACTCTGCTCGGCCAGCAGAAGGATGTTTTCCCGTAGTCTCTTTCAGGACGGGGTAAATTTCAGTGGCTCACCACGGAAGATGGGAAGTAGGTTGGCTGGATCTGTAGGGGCGACTTTGCTTCTGCTAGCCATCTTTCCTAGTTGGGGCGCTCAGAAAAATGGTGGAGAGTTGGTCTCAGGCTTTTGCTCACTGGAGCTAATGCCGAGGCTTTCTGGCTGGGCTTCTCTGTGGGGTGGACAGTTAAGGGAAGTCCAGGAATCTTCTCTGTGGCTCTGGGTTAAGGAATAGCTTTGGGGGCAGCTCCTGTGACTCTTCAGCAGAGAGGGGAGCATTACTGAGCTCCATTTCCCAGCCAAGAATGAGGCTCATGCTGGTTCAGCTCCTTCCTGGATGTGGTATCTTGGGTAAGTTCCTTGAGCCCACTAGTTGCAAAACGGGGAACAGTGGCACCACTAGGGTTGGTGTCACCCACCCCCATGGACCTCCTCCCGTACCAGACCATACAGAATCCTTAGTAATACTTTTTGTACTAATGTTACTCGGAAATCCTAATCCCCATGTATCACTCCTTCTTCTCCTTTAATTACTACTTCACTCTCAAAAAAGTTATTGATACAGGTTCACAAATACTAATTACCATAGTATCGTAGCTAAAACACCAGAAAATTTGACAAAATCAGAGACTGTAAAAACACTGGCAGCAATGAAAACAGCAGCACATGCATGTAGCGCGTGCAGACAAAACCTCATGACTCTAAGTGTCATTGTAATTGGGTAATAACGACAGCTCTGACCGGAGTGCATTACAAGGTTCAAAAAGTAAATTAGCATAGAGTTTTAGCCTTGTAGGTATATTGAGACACGTAAGCTGGACTTATGGATAACGTTTTTGTTGTTATAACTAACTACAGGAGTATTTTTATAAAAAGTAATAAATTTCTGCTGAAACACTGCACAAAAATTTTATAGACAGTCATTTTGGTATCACCCCTCTGACAGTGTCACCCAGTGCTGTCTGCACCCTCTTAACCCCCTAGTGATGCCAATGATGGGGAACAATAATAATACCTACCACCTACGAGTGTTGTGTGGATTGAAATATGGAGAAAGAGCCCTAGAGCTGCACTGTCTGGTATGGTAACCACCAGTCACAGTGATTACTGAGCACTTGGAATGTGGCTATTGTGACTGAGGAACTGCATTGTAAATTTCAATTTTCATTATTTTAAATAAATTAAAAAGCTGATAGTTGATTCAGCTATTGGAAAATGTTAAGTATGTTTGGAACAACTTGGATATGTGAATGTACTTTTTTAACTACACTGGATTTCAAAGACTTAATATGAGAAAAAAGAATGGAAAATATCTCACCAATAATTTTTTATATTGATAACCTATCAGAATGATACTATTTTGGATAATTGGGGTTAAATAAATTATGTTATTAAAATTAGGTTATAGAGAAGTCACTCCTTCAGTCAAAGATTATATAGGCCTATAAAACAAACAATAACAAGCGTAGTTCAACCACGTATATGAGACTAAATGGGTATACCAGCCCAGGGGCAGGGATGAGAAGGCAGGAGGGGACAGGAAAGCTGGATGAATGGAAATGGGGAACCCCAGGACGAGAAGGGGAGAGTGTTGACGTGTCACAGGGTTGACAACCGATGTCACAAAACAGTATGTGTATTAATTGTTTAATGAGAAACTAATTTGTTCTGTAAACTTTCACCTAAACCACAATAAAACAAAACAAAACAAAAAAATTAGATTGTAGAAAATACTTTGATAAAAGAAAATGAAAACACAACTTATCAAAACTTATGGAATGCAACTAAAGCAGTGTTTGCAGGAAATAGCTGTAAACCATTATATTACAAAAGAAGAAAGATTCCACATCAATAACCTGAACTTTCACATTAAGAAACTAGAAATGGAAGAGTAAACTTAAACTTAAAACAAGAAGACGGAAGGAAGTAATAACGATTAGAGGGGAGGTATATGAAATAGAGAATAGAAAAATGGTAGAGAAAACCAACAACACTAAAAGTTCATTCTCTGAAAAGATCAACAAAATTAGCAAAACTCTAGCTATACTGGCCAAGAGAAAAGAGAGAAGATGCAAGTTACTAAAATCAGGAATGAAAGAGGGGACACCACTACCAATC